ACGCCATATCTTAGTGTTGCAGTCCTGTCCAACTGAGATCAGTGTTTCCTCATCAAGCCAAACTAAACGTGTTATTTGACTTTGTGGATGAGCATCTGAAATAAACACATTTCTGTTACAAGTTCACTTTTTCTTTAGATATAATTTCAGAATGCTGTGAGAAATCTAGATAACTTAAAAAAAGGTGAAATCTAAATATACTTACTTTTAATAATAGTATGCTTTGCTGGATTTGTGACGCTCCAAATAATGATCGTTGTATCTAGGCTACCGCTTGCAACCATAGTTGAATCAGGAGACCATGCTACGGAATTCACTCTTGCGTTGTGGAAACCCCATTCTCTATTGTGCGCGAGCTGCAAAGTAACATTTTATTGAGTAATTTTTAAAAAACTAACGTTTATGCTTGTTCAGCTATAAATTTGAAGCGAAAGCGCTACTCACCCTCTAAGATTCCCACAAGCGTTTAGGAAGAGCAATTATTACAAAGAAATTTGTATGTGAGACACAGATGTACTAGCAGTTACATATATGTTTTGCCCATAATAGATATTAATCGCACTATGTACATTAGAAGCGTGAAATATAAATTTACATTACTAGCAATAGTAAAATGCTGCACTGAGTATGTAATGGCGTATATGATATAAAAGCGGTTAATGATTTGCTTTTGAAGTTGTACGTAAATAGTAAGAATTTTAGTTTTTATAATATCTTTAAATACTAGAATTGATTTTACCTTATATTCTGGAACAACATAAAGAATCACTTTTCTGTTCGCATCGCAAGCCACCAAATATTTACTATCAGGGCTGTAAGAAACATCCGTGACTGGACCTAAATGTTCCAATTCAGTTTTGGGAGTCAGACTTGTGCCTGATAATGTATAAATACGAACCTGAAAATGATATTAAAAAGTTATTGTAGCAAATTCAAAATTCATATGATCGAATAGAAATATGAATTAAAAAATAAACTTACTGTATTGTCCGATATAGCTCCTATTGCTACATCGCCATTGTCCTGATTAATTGACACACAGGAAGGTTCGTAATCAATAGGTACATTTGATACCTTCCGGCCATCTTGAATAACAGTGATCTAAAAGTAAGATCATTATTACCTAAGAATAAGGAATCATTAAGAAATTAAATTATAATAAATTTGCAAGATGATTTTACCTGCCTAACAGTTGCAATTACAACAATGTCATTGTAAATATCTAAACCTCGTGGTTGGGAGTCTAGCTTAATAGCAGATGTGTCTACATAAGCGTTCGTAGCAATTTCCACTGTTCTTAGAGAGTCGTCAATACCAGCGGTATAAAGCAAATTCTTTGCAGCCTTCATGCCGTTAATTTGATTTCCATGTCCGTGACCTTGAACACGTTCATTTTCTCCTGTACTTGCGTTCCAATTGGTAATGTATCCGTCGTGAGATCCAGTATAAATTGTACTTCTATCAGGACTCAATGTTAATACTGTTATTGGTTTATTATGACCCTAAAAATTGTAACGATAAAATTTATTTGAAAAAAATATTGTTATTACCTACATATTTCAATTGTATTACCTTGATTATTCTAATTGGTTTATCGGGATTGTCGACATCGAGATAATTAATAAATCCACTTAATGACACAGAAAGTAAATGTTTTCCTTGCCACAAACAGCTGACCTAAAACAAGAAAAATAAGTGAAGGTTTTACATACGATAGTAACTAATAGTAAAAATTTCTTCGTAATAAACTAATAACGTCATGCCTGTTGATCATCGACTGCTGATCCCATATTAAATTCGCTAATGAGGGAACGAGTTTCCACATCCCATAGTTTACATGTTTTATCTCCAGAGGCAGTTAATAATTGTGTACCATCAGATTTCCAAGCTACCTACAAATTTGCAATAAATTAATAAATAGTATATACAGTAGTATATTCACTAGGCAATGTTGATCCAATAATTTTATTAAGAAAAATTTTATAAGCCACAGTATGGAAGAATAGTTAATTTCCTTACTCCATATACTCCGCCTTGATGAGCTGGTGATCCAACTTCTCCAACTAAGTCTGAAGTTGTACCATCATAAATAAATACTTTCCCGTCAAATCCTGCAGATGCAAACAGATTACCGCTAGGCGAGTAACGGACAGCTTGAACAAATCTAGTGTGTTCCTGCTTGGTCATTCTACGTAAACAAAAAATAAACTTAGTTTGCGACATATATGAAATCTGTAAATCTTAACTATTGTTTAAAGTATTTGGATCACTTACTTAATAAAAAAATAAACATAAATGTTTCTTTTACTTTTTTTGAATGGTAAATATTACATGCGAATCAAAACTTTGATGTACCTTTTACATATATTGTATTGCAGGTACTTACTTAAATTTAAATGGTGGCCCTTCGAAAACAGCAATGGTGTTATCCTCGCTTCCAGTGATCAGTCTAAATGGTCTTGCGGGTCTGAAGTCGCAAGAGTTAATGGATTTACTCTGACCAGAAATTTCACCTACAGATGTACCGGTTTCTGCCATGAATACATGACCAAATCTATATTTGTACATAAAAAACAAATTCATTATTAAATCTGAAACTACATTAATAAAATATTCTGCTAATTACCTCTCCCTTCCCTCTCCAACTACTACCATACGCTGATTATCAGGTGACCATGCTATGTCTTTAATGGGTCCTCCAATGGGGTGAAATTCATTCTTCAAAATGTGTTCTTTATTAACAGTATCCCAAATACGTACTTTACCAGATTGGTCTAAAATAAGAAATTGTATATATTTCACCTATATCATTATATATGTACACACAATATTTTCAGGAATAACTTTTCTCTAAAATTTGGCATACCTCCCGATGCAATGTAGAATCCACTTGGAGAATACTTTGCAACATTAACTGGACAAGAATGTTCCGTATAAATATCCGCAATGGCTGGATTCTACAAAATATTAAATTGTATGTATATATTATTGTAAAAAGTGATGTTTTAATAAAAATAAACAAATTTAAACAGAAGTTAAATAAAATTAATATACTCACATCAATGTTTCTAATGATAACACTGTTGCCATTAGTATACAAAAAGTTCTTCCCTTTAGGATCAGCACCTAAAACAAGGGGTTGTCCTCTTTGTGTCCTGGGCAATGTAGCAAAAATGTATTCTGCAAATATGATAAGGATATTAAAGAAAAAAATTTTAAACAATTTTGTAAAATATTATAATAACACTGTATGATTAATTTAAATGATTAGTTTCTTAATATATATGAAATTACGAAAAGTAACTATGTAATAAAATATATTTTTCGACTGGAACTAAAATACACTTTCTTGACACATTGGCATAAGTCCAGCACATAATATTTGAAATTATTTTGAGCATGCAAACTATACCTTGATCTAAAATTATAATGATTCAATTTCAATATTTCACAGAAAATTTCACTATTGGATTTTATTTAATTGTATTGTGTATGTGTATTTACAAGTATGACAAGTGTAACAACTCTATAATAAGCACACTTATATTATATTATAAATGTACTACAGGAAAATAAAACTTAATTAAAAAAATTTTTAATTAAATTTCATTGACATTGTAAATTTTTTTTCATATACAGTTAAAATATAATAGCATTGAATTTGATAAGAGATAACTATCTCAAGTATTAGTCATATCTATGTGAACAGTGTAAAAAGATAAGTTTGAAGTAGTATTAAATAAATTGCAAGATAGCGAGATCTAAATAATACCGCACTACAAAATAAAAAAATAAAAGTTATACCATGACTAGTACAGTGAACTAGCATACGTGGCTAAATAAATTCTGAAATGTTATGCATTCAATCCATCTTAAGATAATGTATGTGAATCACTGATGCATTTAAAGTGTTATGATTTGACTCGAGATAAGCAACCGGAAAATTAAAAAGAATGATATTCACATAAAAAGACTAGTAATAAAATTATCAAATAGATAATTATAACTATCAAAACGGTTCAATGTTACTTACTTGTTTCATAGGACATTTTTATCCCTTTTATTTTTTTCTAAATAATACTTGAAAAACTCAACAATGAGAATCAGTTCAATGCCTCCTTCGTATCTCTTTCTGCCGCCCCCCCATACACTATCTACCGAAATACTTGTTCCGCCCTTGCCTTATTTAGCTGAGGCATGGAATATAGAAAATATAGAAGGTGAACTATTGCGGACCAGTACAATCTAAAATACAATTTTTTAATCTGAAGAAATATTTTCACTTCGTGAGTGCAAAGTAATATAAGAACATAGTGAAAATAATTACGTAACTATATATCGTTAAATTTGATTAGATAAGCAATGTGTCTTTATTAATATGCTCTATAGAAAATTGAATTGATCATGAAGTATAAAATATTATGAAAGCTGTAAATTACGCAAGAAAATGCATTTGGCGCCATTTTCAAATGCGTTATGTATCAATTAAGCAACGACAAATGTACATAAGAAATAAAACTATCCTACAATATTAAAAATTGAGAAACTTTTAATTCGAACACCCTGAAATCATTTGAGAATAAAGTAATATATCACATTTGATCGATTTTCGCGATGTACGGAATATAAAATAAGTGATCCTTTCAATACTGGACAGGACACTAACAGTAAACTAGATCAAGTTCAAATTGAAACCACGAATAAAAATAATTCAGGAGTAATCTCATTCCGGTTTTCCGGTTATTTCGTATTAGGATAATTCTACTTGTTTTTTGACATTCAACTGCTCATCACGGACTTTAGATTTTGGGGAAAAGATAATCGAATTTACTAAATATAGTTAAAGGGTTTCTTTACAAAGACAAAATACTATGGACACAAAATACTATCGAAATGAAATATCACATTTTATTGCAAGTCATATATACAAATTTGAAAATATAATAATCGTTTACGCTTGTAGTTTTTCTATAATAGCAATCTAATCGAGTTTTACATACGTAAATATAAGACTTTGTATATAAAATCTAACTTACTATATACATGTAACACGTATAGAAAAGACTTCAGTTGCTAGAAAAAATGTAATGTGTTATAAAATATCACGTGCATTACGCGTATACAAATATAGACATTATTTGATAAATTGGACTATATTGTGAACTGTTAAATTTTGTGCAAATATTGCGGTGTGCCAAAAATAAAAAGATCGTATTTTACCATTAAAACTCAATCACATGACGTCTATAAATTACACTATATTTTACACATAAAAATATCTCCCGTTTAATATTACACTAGATATATGTATTTCGCGTTAAGCATGAAAACAAATTTTCAGCGAGGTAAGTTCCCTTACGTCATATTGGCAGACATCTTATAAAAAAACAAAAGATAATAGGGTAATTATAATTGAGAATATCTCTCGCGGAATCAAATGATCGGTGCGTTTAATTAATGAAACTATAATAATTATACATTGAAATTCTAAACGGATGCGATGCAAAAATAAATAGCAATTATAGGAATGATGAAATAAATAATAAATGAATGAGAAGGTACGATTGAAAATATTCATGGTCGGCGACAATTCGTGTGTGAAAGCGAGTAAATGTGTACATAAGCAAATTATATACAGTAGAGTTGGACAGATACCTAAAATCATTAACAACGATGAAAATATAGACCTTAATGGCCGACCAATCGTCAATTAATAGCTCATACGTTGTTATATACGTTTATATTATTTTAAAAACTGACAAGGTTTCCTATTAAACGTTAATTAAAAAACAGTAAGAATGTTGTTCGCAGAAACAGTCTTTTTAAACCCACCATCGCTAACTTTAGATTTCCAGAGGTGTGTTAATGGACAATTAACAATGCAAGTTATTTAAAAAATATCACCCATTTGCTCATTTATTACGTACACTATTGATCAAAGTACAGGATCAACTGAAATGTTGCCCTTACGACAGTAATCCCATTTGATGAAAGCAGACCCATACTGTTGACCAGTAGCATATCTCTTTAAAGATGAAATATGTATGAAAGAGGGAAACTCTTTACGACTAAAATTCTGTAAATAGTTCCTATTATAAGAAACACCTCTAAATGATTCTGCCTCCAATCTGCATCATGAAAGACCAGGTTCAGTTATAATTCAGTCGAATGATGCATTTTATGCGATTACCATCCATAAGCATTCCATGGCCGTGTTTAAAGAAGCGAGATTACACAGCGTGTGTGCGCACGGGAGAATACGTTCTTCGCCTCGTACCCGCCAATTCCGGCATCCAAATCGTCTACGACGATGCTATGTACATTCTTCAATGATAAGTCGCGTTCCTTCAGAAATATCGTATTTTGCGTTTCGCGATAACCTCCTGAAATAACCGTCTGTCGAATGGTGCGCCGTGCCGATGATTTTTAGTCTGGGAAAACGTGCTTCCCATTGATCCTTTGCCGTAGAACGAGCTCCTGTCAGCTTCGAGTTCTTCGACCGACGGCACTCGAGGGTGCCTATACTCTTCGATGTCTTCGTCGCGTGGCAATGGACGCGTAGAGTCCTCTGGAACCGGTCGACCGTCCGGATAGACGCGGATTACCATTGGTCCGACCAGATATGGACCTGTGTGCTCCGCAGGTGGTCGAACGTAGTCACGCGACGGAGCTGTTTCCTCGCTCAGGCCGTTTGTTTCGCTGTCACTGGTGGCTGTAATGATAAAAGAAATGTTTACAATTAAATATTACAATGTATACAATTATAGAAATCTGAATTTCAGCTAATTCAATGTAATAGGGGGAACACACGCGATTGGAATTTTCTACGTATGTATGCGCATCACAGGGTTCCAAAGTTGTCGATGAGCTTAACATAGAATCGTGCCATTAGTATTAATTTGAAATCAACAAGGTGATTGCTCGGTGAGCAAATTCGCGTTTTTATGAGACGTGAATTTAAACGTAACGGACAACGGATCCCAATGCTTACTGGTCGTAAATATTTTCAGCACGGCCGGGACCGACCATGTCTAAACGCATCGTTCGCGCCGCTTATACGGACACGAGAGTCATTTTTTAACATGGACGTGACCTCCGCATTATGATAATTCAATGCGTAATATTTTCCCGCTGGGCTGCATCGATGCTTCCTACTTCCGGCAGATCGATCGTCGGTCCATGATTATTCTCCGCAAGGACTCTTCGAAGGGACGTGTAGGAATCTCAACGATTCCGAGATGCCTCGCCGTTTATAAGTACATATGTAAGTACATAGTTCCTCGAACACCGAACAAAAACGATAGAGTTTCGCAAACGCTACCCTTGGTAGAAAGTTGTTCGATCAAAATTGCTAACGCAGATTGCTCGCTTACATGAAATATTCTGGAAAATATTACTTACACGAAGGGACTATGTTCTTCTACCACTATTAACACGTTCACCACCATGAGAATTTTAAGCGTTTTGTGTATTAGTATTTATTCTTCCTTAAAAATGACAAATAGTACTAGAAACAATTATTACTGACTTGGTATCTAATGTTTCACTATTGGTTAGTTACCTATGATACTAAATATTTTTATCCGATATCAATTTTCTTATTGCAATTGTTTTCATGCAATTTAAAAGCTCTGATCAACGATGACTACCATTGGCAGTTAACGTGTTAATCCCTAACCCTGTGATTTCTTTCGCAACTGTGCTTGATAAGACTACATTATCATTGACAATTTGGTAGCAAAAGGAAAGAATATTGTACTTATTCTCTGTCTACGTTTACTCTAAAGGTTAAAGATAGACGATACACGAGTAATATTCAATTTATGTTAAAAATAAATAAATAACATTTCAATTTGTTGTATCCAGTTTGAAATTTTTATCGCGTGTCTGACAGGATATTATAAGAGAAAGGGTTAACTGAAACATTTACCGCGTTCCATATAATACAAATAATATAAATTTGTTCGATATACTTTTTCCGGGAGTAGTACAAATTAACTATCTTGCCTCGTTCTCTCGGTACACCTTCCTTTCTCCATTAACGCATTTGCATACACGTATACATGGATGTAAGTACACAAAACATTTTTTTCGTAAATAGATCAGTTACCGTCATTATACAAGGAAGTCCGTCGAAGTGAAACTCAATGGATCGCGCGAACAGATACGAAGATTCATGTGCACGCGTCAAGATGCACATACTGGTAGTCCTAGAAAAAGTGAAACCTCATTTTTCGATTCACGGAAACGGGATTTTCCGACGTGTTTCGGCCTTTAATTACTTCGTTCGACGGTTCATTTCAATTCCGAACTTATTTTTTTGTTTGAGTAATTCCCGGCACATTCGAAGAGAATTCGCGCGATGCTTTCCTCGGGAACGAGCATGCTGGCGTGTTGCTCCTTGGAGAAAACGTGAAAGTGCTTTTGAAGAAATTGACCTCTTTCCGACTGTCCGCAGCATCAATACCCGCGTTCTCGCTTCGTATCATCGGTTCGTATGTAACTAGACTGATTTCGATCCGGCACGGTTAAAAACAGACCCGAAATCACTCGAACGTCGCCGCATCGGGTGGATTGGGTGAAAGTGCACTGAAGAAAAGCGGTCGATCCGAGAACGAGCGTCGCGCGCTATCAAAACGCGATCTCGTTCAGGGGAAAAGATGGAAAAAAAACTTTCTAGTGGAACGAAAGCGATTGAGACGGTGGCTGGAACTTTCTCGCGGCGCCATTTGTTTTTGTTTTTGTTCGTTGGTTCGTTCGTTCGTTCGTCTCGGGTCACGAGTATCGGACTCAGATCCCGGCCAATAAATTACTATACCCCCGTAGAGTCGCCAGCGTTCCCTGCCATTTCAATTTTCACGGTTAATGTAAAGGTTAATTAGCGCGTCCCGCCAATCAGCTCGCTTGTTCGCTTGCCCGTAATGCAATCCTGCGGGGACAAGCTAATCTCATTCACAAACAGGTTTTGATCTCCTATCGATCGAAACTTTCACTCGCTAATTATCCTTCATGCGGTACATTGAGTTATCTCTTTACTCGAACTACGCTCCGCTAATAAACCCGCTCTCGCGAGTTTATGAACCCACTCTTCGATTCCCGCGTCGGTGTTTAACATTTCCTAAGGCATGTAATGAATTTCGGGTAAACTCGAATTTTTCGTCGATTATTAATTCATCCTCCTGTTGAATCTTTCATCGATTTTTAATTCGCCATTTGCATCTCGTTTCCTCCCTGAATCATAATTTCATTCATTTTCTGAATCGTGAATTTATTTAGTTTCATCACTTTTTATTTTACATCGTACCGTCGACGTTTTGTTCCATTCGCTTCAATGGATTTTAATTTCTTTAGTATTCTGTTTAATAGCTTGCAAATCGCAAAGTGCAATATTATAATACTGATATGTTATATTTCGCATTAAGTAACAATTGAATGAGTTAAATGAAGATATTATCATTTATTCAATTGTTACTCGATAAATAAAAATATCACGTTACCATATAAAAGCTTAGATAGAAGAAGAGTATTGTAATGGTTCTTTTTTACTTGAAAAGCGGTTTAAAGGAAAGCCTATATAGTGGCATTAAATTAATTTAAATGAAATGAAATTTAATTAAAGTTGCATACATACCTAACGAATCAAATCCGGTTGTGAAGTAGGAGTCATCCGGTTCGTGGCCAGTCCTCGTCGAAAACCCGTTCTTCGCCATAGCACGCCATACTGCGGCAGAAAATCAGTATTAATTACTTATAACACAAAATAATTATTCATTGATCGAAACACAAATGATTCTTGCCGTTCAGGTCGCAAGCTGTTTACCCACGACCTGCACGAATTATTTGAATTTCTCAAATAAAGCCATAATAGCAATCAAAACGTTATCAAAGACTGCGCTTACTCATTTCCTTTGCGCCGTGCTGATACGGATCTAATTTATCAAGAACAGTATCATCCATGTTGGCTAAATTCCGTAGACTGGAGACCAATAAATTTTTGTTGCAGTCCGGCATCGAAGAATCCGCACAAAACTTGGCTACCTGTTGGCTGAACATTCTGAATAGATGGCTAATCTGAAACAAAATAAATAACATTAAGCATGAAATATTCAATCGTTTTTAAAATTACTGCTCTATCTCGAATGTAATCAATGATTAGAAAAATAACATTTCTACAAGTAATTTTTATGAATTTAATTAGGAAAACAATTATGGGTCAATTATGTAAAGGGTCAAAAGCAAACTGTTTAAAAATGTACCGATCGATAATCGAATTTTAATATATACATCTTTTTTAAATTAAAAGAATCATTTCAAATTATTCTTTGTAGTAATTATATTAAACTACAGTATAGTAATTATATTGAACAGTACACACAGATGTATAGGCGCTTTCTTAAAAATAATAATCAACGGTAAATAAACGTGGAAAAACCGGTAGATCGTCAGCGAATTTTTCCTTTGTTTCATACAAAGTATCGATCATCGCGAAAGCTGTTTTCCATTCCGTACGCCAATGCATTCCGCGCGCGTCCGGTGAAACTCGGCAATGTGTAACGCGCGGGATATCGGTTACACGACAGTTATAACAAACAAATATATATGCGAGCCGTGGCTCCGCTGTCCGTCACGTATCGGGCCTGATTGCGATACACGCCTTTTTTTCGTTTTCGTCACGATAAATTCTAACCGTCGCCGCGAAACATGCCCCCGTTCGTGTTCGTAACGTAAAGCGCAATAATCCGGGTGTCCACACTCTTTTGGCTCCATCTATGGATAAATGGTTACGAGAATGCTCGACCTTAGAATTTCTAATGATATGTGTTTCCGTAACAGCTTTCGACCCTCTCGAAAACGCACGTCCTAACGGCGGGGCGAAAAAGTGGGGAAAAATATGTCCAACTGTTGACGACAGACTGCTTGCATAACGGTGGAATCTTTTCGAGACACTTCCCAATGGTACCGGTCTCCGTGATAGACACGCCATTTATAAATCTCGATTTCTCGCCCTTAAAATATGTTATGAATGTCTTATTCGCTTTGCATTTCGAAAATGAAATGAAAGATTTTAATAAAAAGAAAAAAGAAAACCGATGATTTAATGGAAATCAAAATGTTGTCGACGGTCATGGTTTAATTGGTTACAAGAACATCGGTTATATTTTACGCGCGACGCACTACGCGATACGTTTGAGTCTCGACGGACTAGATGGGCAAGGATGCACGATTTCCGGTGCTGACCTAGATAGATCGACGACGTGATCGATGGCGGATCATTGTACCGTCTCCTAAAGGATTCTGGAAACAAGAGAAAGTCGAGACAACTGGGATGATAGTTGTATTGATAATTGGTACGAAGAGATAAAGAGGTTATGTGATAACCTAACATGTATGATTTGAAGTTGACCGTAAATATAATATTTTTATATTTATCATATATCATATATCCATCGCTTCATTCACTTTTCGGTTTTACAGAAATATATATGTGTAATATAAAAATGTGTGTGTATACGTATTATTATTATTGTTTTGATTGTATAATTTTTTTGATACTATAAGTTAATAATACATGTTAAGCTACTTAAAGTCGATTAGCGACTGTGGTATACAAGTTCAATCCAAGCGTGAATAAAGAGAGCGTTCTTGAACTTCAATTGAACGAGCAACTGCTTTTACTGGCGCGTATGCCGCAAGCGGCCATAATATTTGTAATGCACGCGAGGCGATGAAATGAATTTCACGCTTTTTTCCTCGCTTAAGAGAAATACCTCTGAATACGACCATAAACGGAATCCCAGAACATAAAACAAATCTTAACTTCCACAAATACAATAAATATATCTGTTATACCGAGTCGGAATAAATTTTCACTTGAGATAACCTATATTCCACTGTTCGTTATCATGGGAAACTTACAACCATCGTGCCATTGTATCGATTCCTATAATTGCCTATAATTGTAATTACGATAATGACTTTGACTCAAAGTCCTTTTTTTTCATAACACACTACACACTTTGTACATGTTGTGAACATGATAATAATTCGTGGTTGATTTGAATAATTATGCAATTTCAAGATTGGATTTGAATTAGAAAATTTTCTATGAGAATGTTGTAGTTTTAGTTGTACACATCGAACAACTTGAGAAATGTTCGTTAAAGTGCACCAGTGAAATCACTGATCGTCAACTTCTGCGCTTGAGAGTATTTCGATGGGGGGAAAAAAAATAACGCAACAAGAACGGCGCAATGTCACGAGAAAAGTCAATGTCCGAGGCGCGCTCGCGCAATTGCACCCGACTGGACTGTACAAATGTACGGGGAAAGAATTTTCAGCAAATACAGCCGATGGTGTTCGGTGAAAGTTTGATTTTGCCAATATTATTTGGCCATCAACAGGGTGGGCCTGTATTATTGAAAAAGTAAACAAAATTACTCCTTTACTTCTTTCGAAAATTGATAATTGCCACTTTTGTAACGTTTAAAAATACAAAACTTTAGAGGTTTCCATTTTTATTTTTATTACTAGGTTTCTATAATTGTAAAAGAAATTAAGTATCAGAGATAAGTTATGCTAGGTCATCTCATAACGTCGTTTTCTATGCAAACTTCTAGTGTAAAAAGTTCTTACTTACTGACCATAGTTATGTATGACCTTTTCCCATTCTTCGATCAAGTTTATATTACTTGATTAATCAACTACGAACATTAAATAATACAAAGATCAAAAACCGATATTACTTATGAAAAGACTTAATATTTTGAAAAAAAATATTTTAAATACTATTTGAACTATTAATGTCATACAGTTCGGATAAAACGATATTTCAAATAGACGGGAAAATTTCGAGATAATGTAAAGCATGAAACGAAATACTTCAATTTCATATTTCAAATGTATAATATAAATTACCAAAAGAACTTAAATTCTTAGATATATATTTACTATAACCCAAGAACCTATACATTTGTCCAAATATTTTACTTTTTAACTCATAAATATTATTAAAAACAATCTACACTATTAACTATTTAAAATGATATCATAACGATGCGTATCCGCTATAAATGAAAAAGAAAAAGCGTCCTTAAATCAACAGTCTTCGGCCACTTTTCCAGACAAGATCAATTCCATTAGAACCACACAGCTGCTGTGAAACAATCGAGAGAAGCAAGGACACTGGAGCAGCATTCAGTTACAATTTTTCTACTAATCGCGCGAATTACAAATGACAAAACCTTCGAACAATACGTACTTTTTCATCCCGTGAGAGAAATTCCCACATCGGTATCGCGGAACCAGTGACGCATAGGGTATGGCATCCGAGTGTCAGGGCAACGGCGAAAATCACAAATGTTCTGGAATTTCTCATCGTAGACATTTCACTTCTTTTTTGTCCGTCCCGATAGTCCGGAGAGCACACTTTTTACACACGGCTTGTTCAACGTATCGCACAAAAGTGTGTGTGTGTGTGTGTTATGTATACAAAGTTTGGCGTTCGAACACCTCAGAACTTCTCAGAGGAAACACCGCCTCGAAGTGCAATGGGTTACGTAGAAGAGCGTTCGCCAATATAGAATATTCGTTGCTCGACGAAATATCAACGGCACCGTTGTCGATGAAAGTTCACGTGGAATCGAACGCGCGAAACGGCACGACTACACATTCCACTTGAGCGGTCTGTGCAAACTGGCCTGCTCCCCTTCGATCGCTGGATTATATGTCTCGTACCAGTGACGTCTGCGCGCCCACCCTACGGCCCCCTCTCCACCCTACTTTCAGGAGCAGAGTCCACGGTTTCTTCCAGTGTTTACGTCTTTCCAGGACGTCACCGAGCCAATAGAAACTTTCGTGCGAAATAAAAAATAATGATTTTCTGAAATCGATCTCCGCTTGATGCACGCAAAATTTCAAAACAATGGAGCCACGTGGTTTTGTAGCTCTTTTTCTCGGCATAATGAACTCGATAGAGAAAGATACGCTGTCGATAAACTTTTTATTTACTAGTAACTGTTTTTTTGTTTTTATAATGAGTGATATGGGAATAAAGAATTGGTGAAACAATGAAGTTGCTAATAAAAAGTTGAGCATAGATGTAACTTCTATTTGCCTTGTTTATACGAAGGGAAACTTCGTTTGCCGTCGTAACCAGTGTATAAGTTTTACTGGTGTACACCACTCGTCATCTCAGAATCTAAAATAATATTAACTCCTTTAACAATTACTTCTTTTTTTTAGATACACGTGTAGTTCTTTTTCGTTTTGCTTTAGTTTCCCGTTTCAATGTATATTAGAGAGTGCATTTGTCCTGCGTTCGAAGTGTATACTCGTCGTTGATTGATTTTATTATACATCCTGCGAGAAATTTTTAAGGCAGAATTCCACGGTTGACTGGTTAAATATAATTTCCAACGTTTCAGTGCCGGTCGTGTCGGTTGTCGGTGACACTTGTAATTGACAAACTGAAAAACTGTATCTGTTAGTTGATTTTAATTAGAAACGGGTTAGAAACGGTATACGAGGGGAAATTGAGAAAACCTGCTGGGGATCTGACTGGAAACGGCTCAATCTTGTTCATCCGGTTCTTCCAGCTCGTTCGAGTTAGGTCCTTAGAATCGCATTCTTCAGGTTTCCACGTCCTTCGAAATGTTTCAAGTTCAACAAACATTTGTTGATACACGTACTTTAGTACGAGGACCTGTGTGCTACAGTTACAATGAACTCGACTGTGTTTCGGGAACAATTCAGTGCAAAAATTTTACTGGTCGCAAAATTATAGTTTTCTGCAGCTAATACTGCACATCGTCTTCATAGATATATTAAGCGGTGCCTATATCGCCAATGCTACGCTTATTTACGATTTATTATTGTATAAAAAATATATATACAGGCGTTCAAGGATCTTAATGACGTGGGTCATTGGTTGGACTATAAATTAATATTCGTAGAGAAATACTGATTATTAATTAACCGCGTTGTTTGGCGATGCTTTGACGTAGAGAAAGTGGTGTTTCACGGAAAATATAGCATTATTTAGATGGCAATGTTAATACCGTCACGGTTACAATTTAACTGAAATTCTTATAATATCCAGATCAAAATAATTTCCGTCTTTCTTTTTTTCTTCGTTAGTAATAAATTCAAGTACTTTAACAATAATAATAATGATCATATATTAAATATATATTAAACAAATTATTATTATTATTATTATTACTGAATTATAATTTATTGTAGCTTTACACTTATATATGGTTACTACTAAGTATGGAATCACTTAAATTAATTACCTATTTATAACGTGTGAGCGATAAAGTATGGAGAATGATCGTCCCTTGTGTTACAATGATCGCTCTTGAAGGCACACGTAACGCACGTTGGTGATGGTACACGAAGGGAATGATAATTAAAATCGTTGCCCGCTTACATTCCCCTGATACTATCATCAAAGATGCGAATCTAATATTCTATTGCCCATTCGTTGCGTAGAAATCACATTTATACATTGTTCCCTAATTTCACTTTCGCAGTTTCCATCCTTTTGTGTTACAAAGCCACATAATTATAACGTAACCATAAACGTCTCCGTGTTGCGTATTTCAACATTTGCAACTGCAATTCCTGAACATAATTTAGCTCGCGTCGAAAAAAATATTCATTACGTTTTTAACGATACGTACAGGCGAATATAGCTGATTATCGTGCCCTTTAATGCCAAAGGAGATTGCAAATGTAACGCCGGTACGTGTAAAACACATATATGTATGTTTCTACGTCTCGATCCATTTCTTTTGTGGTGGTAATACTTCCCCATGGGGATGACCAACGTCGGGACTTAAAGAACGTAAACCTGTTTTTACTTGTAATGGATTTTTAAAAAATTTTTTTCTTGGATTTTTTTAATAATTTTTTCTGAATCTTTTCTGAAGAAATTGATTAGTCAATCAATGAGGTTACTTTACCTTTAACCTATACTTGGAATAATAACTTCACTGAATATAATGAGTCCAGTAACTTGAAGCTTTCTTTTTCGACAAGAAAAGTTTGCACTGGCGCAGATGCGTACTACGAAACTATGATTCGCATTATGTGTGCATCTAAGCACCGGCAATGACGAGTACTCGGTTGTTACGGCAACCAGTGTCGTTCCAGGTAATCTCTACTATCTCGCAAGTTCGCTGCACATTTAACAGTCAGCATGCAGTCATCCGACTATTATGTCATTCGTATCTAACGAGAATAGATCTAAGTAAGAGGTTCTCAAACTTTTCGACGTGATTATCGTGTACAGTGGAAACACTGTTTCTAAGTATCATTGGTCTTAAATAATCGACCACAAGAAATATTTATATTTTTAATAATGATCGTTACCAGTTACGATAGGTATACAAAATCGAGTATATTATTTTAAAAATTTCAATTTCTTCGCTTGGCAGTTAAGAATTACTTATCAGCTTATGAACGCAACAGTAATTTACCGGTGTCTCGGTCGGTAAATCAACGCATGGACGATAAATACACTATAGTTAGATTCAACAATTTGCCCAAATAGATTATTCTTAGAAAAATCGTATATGGTAGTGTTCTACTTTCCAAATCGATTAATCGTGCACGATCAAACGTGTCTGTGTATTCACGGACTCGCTGCTACCTCTGATCCATGGAACGTTCTCAGGAATCCAAGCGATTTCAACTGTTTTAAAGAGCAACTGTGCAGAAATT